TTACGACCGAAGATGAGACATTTTTCTCGAAGTTTTTGTGATCAGCCGAAAATAATAGTCAGAAACAGCCCAGTCTGCACACGTGACAATTTGTCGTGTTCTGATATCAAACTACTCAGGCTACCTCTGTCTTTTAAACGACTATTGTCGCTACTAGCGCTCAAGGTCTTCATTGCATAAAGACGTCATCCTGTTCGTGGCAACATTTGCCCATGAGAATCAGACTGATGCATGCTCAGCCTCCCCCGGAAAACGTTTTGACCACTGCCACCCGCCAAAACGCACTCTGTCGGGCTTCGCGACTGCCGGTCGTCGGGTAGATCAGAGATTTCCCAAGCACATCTTCGTGGAACCTTAGAAGTAGCAGCCGAAGGAATGAAGAACCCGACTTCTTCAGTTCCTACACAACTCTCGAAGGGCAAATTACCGGCCGAGCACGAGGAAGTTGGCGAAACTGCCTCTAACTCAGCGAATCACGAGCAAAGCTACAAAACAAAGCGTGTTGTATTGTAGCATTCTGTTCTTTATAACCGCTTATAATGGAAGTTAAACTTCGCGAAATCACGTCTCTTATTTATGTATTTGTGTGTATTTAGGATCCTCGGACATTTCGCGGCAGTTTGAAATCAGGTTCGATGCGACGTACGAAGAGAGAAAATGTCTGCCCGAACGGTGAAGGCGTTGAACTCCACTCATCCCGAATTAATAGCGCCATCTCCATCCAGAGACGTAAACACAAACATCTCAGTACAATAACTAGCAGTGATTTCAATACGAGAGTTAAGTCCCGAAACGTCGCCTATATCAACTGAAGTAATAAAATTCCTCATTCAAAGTGTTGTTAGACGACTCTGAAGCGTGCCTCGCCTGTCTGTCCTCCCAGCAGAGTCCGGACCGGGAACGACCCATCGAGTTGAAACTGTAAGGCCTTTGCCAAAAAACTTTTATCGAACAGAAAAAAAACTAGGAAGTAGGAACTTTGATGGAAGTCGGGGGCCAGCGGCTGTCATTACGCACGCGTCTCAATATCTGTGGAACACACACAAAAGTGCGTGAGTTTGGTACACAACGGACAGACAGAAATAAGGAAGCCGCTACCGGAACGTGGCAGTGCCTCATGACGCCCATAAACCCAGAAGTGCCGCCTTAACAAATGTTAGTCAGATGAATTAATGGCTTCCTGTAAGGACCAGGTCGGCGCCCTTGTGTTCCTGAACCGGTCCGCGGTTAAACCGAATTTATTCCCAGTTCCAAACGAAATGAAGTGTAAAAGACGCTGTTAGCAGGAGTACAGGATGAAATCAGCATTCCGGGCTACTATCAGCATCGCACGAAGGAAGGAAGCCACGTTTAGGCCGGTCGGCCACACCGCCCCCTGCAGAAACTGCCCTGCCACACGAGACGGACACGCTCTCAGAGGCGGTCCACTGACGTGCCTGCACGGATAAACCCCGGTTACATTTCTCGCCGGCTTTGCCCAGAGCACATCGCCCACATTCCTCGGGAGGACTGTGACGGCGCTCGGAATGTGGTCACCTCGCAGCTCTGACTTCTAAGTAGAACCACAGCAACAAATTCGCATTTGTTTATGCGCTCAGGCAATTGCAAGTCGTAAATCTTTCTGTTAATTGTTATTCTAGCGCTGTTTAGTCGTCCTCAGTAAATCTTCGAATCGCCGTACGTGCAGAATACATCATGGCGACTGCACCCACCCTGCCCCGTGACGAGAACACGGACGGAAAATTACGACCGTACGCGAGTCAGCAACTTCTTACTTCGTCGGGAGCTCTACAAAAATGGGAAATGTTTTGGTAGCTTGTCTTCTCCTTTACGGGAGGCGGAGTGAAAAAACTGATGTCACCGGGAGATGTTATCGGTTGCCTAGTTACTACGAAAAGCTGCAGAACCGGATCCAGGTACCAGTTATTAGTTTGAAACTAAAATAAATGCATTCTTTGCTACCCTGGAAAAATCCGGTCGAATCCTTCCTTATTTGT